TGGATGGATGGATGGATGGATGGATGGATGGATGGATGGATGGATGGGTAGGAGGGTAGATGGACAGATGGGTGGATGGATGGACAGATGGGTGGATGGATGGACAGATGGGTGGATGGATGGATGGATGGATGGATGGGTGGGTACATGGGTGCGTGGGTGCATGGGTGGGGAGGCATGGATGAGAAGTGGTAGCCCTCTCAGAGTATACAGAGACCCTGAGAAGGCCTAACAGGTGCCATTGTGGGTCAGGAGCCCCCAGTGTTACCACCCTGTTCATGACAATGTCTTGAGTGGGTGACCCTGTGTACAGTCTTTGTACCCTCTTATTAATGTGTGTGTCATTAGGAATATACATATATATAGGGTCTCACTGTGTAGTTCAGGCTGGCTTTGAACTCACTATGTAGCCCAGGCTGGCCTATGAACTCACGGCGATCCTCCTGCCTCAGCCTCCCAAGTGCTGTGGTTACAGGTGTGTACCACTGTGCCGGGCTAGGTACATTATAAAGCATACTCACCAGGCCTGGGACATGCAGTAATTCCAGCACTTGGGAGCCTGAGGCGCACAAGTTTGAGCCTAACCTGGGCAACTTCACAAGGGCTTGTCTCAAAATACAAAATACAAAGGAGTGGGGGTGTGGTTCTGTGGTAGATCACCCTGGGTTCAAGCCCCAGTAATGAAGAAAGAAAGAGAGACGAAACAAAAGGAAGGGAAAGAAAGAAATTAAGAAAGACAACAAAACACACTCAAAATAATCTTAAATGAAATAGATTAGTTAATACATTCATTTAAAAATAAATTTTTTAGCCAGGTGTGGTGATACATGCCTGTAATCCGAGCACCTAAGAGGCTGAGGCAGGAGGATCTCTGTGAATTCAAGGCCAGCCTGGGATATATAGTGAGTTCAAAGCCAGCCTGAACTATACTATGAGACTTTGTCTCAAAAAACCAAAAATTAATAATAATAATAACAATAATAATTTTGAAAAATTTTGGGGTATGTGGCTCTGGAGATCAAACATAAGGTCTAACATGTACTAAGCACACACTCTTCTGCTGAGCTACTGTCCAGCTCCAAATAACTTTTTCATACCTGTTCTTCTCAAAGCTAAACTGTTATTCGTAGTTTAAACACACAAATGGGAACCGACCCATTATTCAAACCATGCGGACACTAAGCGGTGGCCGCGGCTGAGCGACGGACGGCAGACTCAGGAGCAACCCTGCTCGTCACCGGCCGCTACTGTCCAGTTGCCCGTGCTGCAAGCTGCTCCGCTGAAAAGCAGCCGGGAAATCTCCATATTCTGTGATTTCCATCAAGGGCAACTGCGTGCTAATCCAGAGGGCTGGATTTCTTGTTTCTTGGCAGATGAGCCCAAACCTCTTTCTCCCTCAGAACGGTTTGGCATGAGTTAGAGAGCGCGCTCCTGAGGGTGTGGCGCAGGCCGCGGCCGTGGTGGGAGTGGGAGGAGAGGAGGCCTCGGGAGGCCAGAGGCCTCGGGAGGCGTGATCCCTCAGGTGCCAGGAGACACTGCTCCCTGCCCCTCATCCGGCCACTGTGTCCATCTGACCTGGCTCTCCGGACTTCCT